AAGATAAAAATGGTAAAAATGAAAGGTGAAAGAGAAGAAAAGGTACTAAAATTAGAGCATTTTGCACTTATTCTTCAACTAGCTTGCCTCTTTTGAAGATTCAATGTCGGTATCACACTCGTTTTTCTTCTTCATACTTAGAAAAGACAGAAAACTGCCACTAGTAGTTGTTGCAAAAGTATTTTTCCTGACAAGGCTATGCTAAATTTTCAGAGTGACACATAACAGCATAATCCAATCCAAACACAGAAGAAGGCCGAGTCAAAAGTAAAAACAGTAATACAAATGAGTCTCTGCTTTATAAGAAGCCTGTGCAAAATGAGGCTTCATAGCAACCCAAGGAAAGTAAGACAATTTTCAAGACAAAGCTTTATTTAATGGCCTGACAGGAATCTTATTCCTTTTTACAATCTGGTAATGGAGTTAAGGAGTCCTGGTGTGGCACTGTGGGTTATTGCGCCATACTGCAAAGCCGTTTGAACGGCTGTTCAAGCTCACCAGTCACTCCTCGGAAACTCTATATAGGATCGCAACCAACTCGATGGCACTTAACAACAACAATGGAGTTAAAGGCCACCACAGTCCCTTTAGTTAAAACCAAAGACTGTTTAGATCAGAATTCTGTAGTTTAAGGTTTGAAGATATACTTTATATGTCATTCTAGGGTAATTTATATGGTAGTTTTACCCTGGGAGTTTTGATATTGGATGACAATCTACTAACAAGCAATGACAAACAACTATTATGACTTTAGTATACATTTATGAAATATTACTGGGATTACAGTATTTGGAGAATAATGTCTATGGAGAAAATCAAGACTTGAAGGCTGGCTGGTGTAGATCTGTGGTTCTAACTTTCACTGACCACTGGAATCCTAATAGTGCTTTAAAAAATAATTATGTTCAAGTTAAGACCAGATCCAGACACCAATGAGATGATAATGCATAGGGTTAGCGTCTACAACTGTAGTCCTGATGTGGTGCTACAGGATAAGCACTGGGCTGCTAACCACAAGGTCAGTGGTTCAAACCACCAGCCACTCCTTGGAAACGCTATACAGGGTCGCTATGAGTCAGAATCGATACCACAGCACTTCGCAACAACAACAAGGTCTACAATTGAATTTTTAAGAGCTCCACAGGAGAGTCTAACATGCTGCCAAGACAGAATTGTTGTTAGGTGCTGTTGATTAGGTTTCAACTCATAGTGGCCCTATGTTTAACAGAATAAAACACTGCCCAGTCCTGCACCATCCTCACAATTGTTGCTACATTTGAGTCTGTTGCTGCTGCCACTGTCATTTCATCTCACTGGGGTTCCTCTTTTTCTCTGACCCTCCACTTTACCAAGCATGATGTTCTTCTCTAAGGGACTCGTTCCTCCTGAGAATATGTCTGAAGCATGAGAGATGAAATCTTGACATCCTGGCTTCTAAGGAACATTCTGGCTATACTTCTTCCAACATAGACTTGTTTGTTCTTCTGGTAGTCCATGGTACTTTTAATATTCTCCTCCAACACCATAACTCAAATGCTCCAATTCTTCTCTATACTAATAAAGCAGAGGAACACAGTAGCTCTGTATGATAAGCACTAGACTGTTAACCACAAGAACCACTCATTGGAAGAAAGATGAGGCTTTCAGCTCTTGTTAAGATTTATAGATGTGTAAACCCTACACAGGGTCGCTATGAGTTGAAACCTACTCAACAGCATTTAATAATGTATTAATTACGTAGGGTGCCAGACAACAAGAAATAGAAGCTCAGTCTTGGAACTCAATTCTATTGATTCTGTTTTTCAGAGTCTCTACAGGTAAAACAAAAATAAACTTACTTATCCTTTTCAGAAGAACAAGGTGAAGACAAATATTCTAGAAATGTAAAAACGTTGGAAAGATTGGAAGGTTTTCTTTTTTTTTTTCCTTAGACTTTCCATAATAAAAGTATAATTTCAGCAACAAAGAAACTAAAGGAAGGGTTCAAACTGTAATGCTATGTGATCTTCCATTTGCTTAGCAAAATGCTTAGTATCTAAGAAAGTGTTTTGTTCCTTACTATTTTGAAATCAGCCCTTCTTTAAATTCATTTTGCATTATTTTCTAATTGTTTAATATGCATATATTTGTTATTGTTGCTAAGTGCCCTCAAATCAGTTCTGACTCATAGCGACCCTGTATAGGGTCTCCAAGGAGTGGCTGGTAAATTTGAAGCGCTGATCTCGCAGTTCAAACAGACCTTGCAATCCAATGTATTATCCCACTCCACGCATACATTTAGCTTCCTTAAAAAATATGGCCTTGGTGATAGAAACGACGCCAGAGACTACATGACAGATTTAGCAAAACTAATGATTTATTCATTGGTAATACTTTTCTTTTTTTTTTCCAATAGACACTTGGACTTCACCAGATGGAACACTCAGGAATCAAACAGGCTTTATGTGTGGAAAGAGCTCATAAAGAAGCTCAACTGCATTAGTCAAAACAAGGCCAATGGCTGATTGTGGAACACAGCATCAATTGCTCATATACAAGATCAACTTGAGTTTATCTCACCTGAATCTGGATACTACATAAATAATAAATTTGATGCATTGAGCACTAATGACCAAAAGCTGGATGGTTATGGAATGACACCATCCATGAAGAAAGCAAAAGGTTATTAAAAGGACAGAAAAGACTGGTCTGAAGTGTGGGGAGGCATGAGAAAACTCCCAAACTTGCAGACAGTACCCATTTGACCTAGCTTGGATGGCTTGTTGACCAGAACTTGATCAGGTGAAGATAAAGAAGTCTGGTACAGGAAGCAAGTGTAAATTGCTACAACTTGATGAACTGAACTATTGCTTATGGATGAAACAAACGAAAGGGAAGGATTCCTCATATCAAGGATCAAGTTTGCCTCCTCAGTACACTGGGTTGAGAGGGAAGGGCAACTTGTTATATCAAAAATGGGGGGTGGGGAGGAAGACATAAAGGCATGAAGAGCCTGGCTTACAAGCTTTCATTAGGCTGCAGTGTGTCAGAATGAGATGGGGTAATACGGAATTCCCATTGAAAAGTCTACCTCTTGTACAGATGGGTCTGGTAATGATGGGGATAGGATTTCATGATTCAATTGTGAGTAATTGTTATCAAGACTAATAGCGATGGTCACAACTGTACATGTAGAAGAGGTGAAATTAATAGACGGGAGCAGTTAATCTGTCATTTCAGAAACAGAAGAACCTAGGACCATCAAGTCGAAGAGTCTGAGAGGAGTGAGGGATCCTAACCAGAAAAGTGGTGACAACAGAGATGAGGAGGAGATGAGAACTAGAGCAGCAGAGGACTCTAGGCCCATGGACTGAAAAAGGCAGTGTGCCTGTGGACAGGAGGCTGGCTAGCAAAATGTGCCCTTTGCATATTGAAATGAATATATATTTTCCATGTGATATGTATACAACAACAAAAAGTTAATTGAGGTAAATATTGTTAGCTAATGGTGCATAGAGGGGATTTAATCATTGCAATGATTTGCTGCCTGTAAAACTGATGATCTGCCCTGTAAGTCTTTACTAAATTCACAATAAAAGCTTAAAACAAAAAAACAAGAAGAATAGAAAGACCAAACTGGATGCCAGAAGAGATTCTTTAACTTGATCTTGAATACAGAGTAGCTAAAAGTGAACAAAATAAATAATGAGGTAAAAGAATTGAACATAAAATTTCAAAGGGCAGCTTAAAATATTCAAAAGACCTAAAGTTAGAAACCCAAAGGAAAGAACACACTGGACATTTCTCTGGTTAAAAGATCTGAAAAAGAAATTAAAGAATTGAGTTCCTATACTGAGGGATCCTATGGACAAACTACTGAACGATGAAGGAAGTATGAAAAATAATTGGTTGGCACTGAATGAAAAAATAGT